GCTTTGAAGTTAATGGAAAGGGAAAAATAAATTAATTTGTACTATACTGTAAATGAAAACGACACAAGCCTTTCAGTGTCAGCTCTTCTTCTAAGCAGCTCATAATGAAAAACCCAAGGACTTTTGTTGTGAAAAACACTTTCTACAGGATTCCAACTAATTCAAAATATTGTTTTAAGATATATTGTTCACAGATCTGTCATGTCAAGTGTTGACAAAAAAAAACCCTTCTTGTCCTTCTCAGACAGCTATTCAGCTTCTCACCTACAAGCACTTTTTTAGACAGTGTTCTCAATTTAGTCTCCTTGGAACTCTAATGAATCTATAAACACTTCATTGGATTTAATCGCAGACACAGTTTTTAACAAATAATTCATTTCACCATCCCACACCTCTTCTTTAAAACAAGTTAATGTTTGAGTAAGATTTATTTTGAAGTTATGTTTAATTTTGTAATTCTGTTTACAACTCTATATTGTTAAATACAGTTTAAAATGCAACTCATGAGATCATTGTAATTCATTTTTACTGAGCCTAATATTCATCTGTAATAATTATAACAACCTTAATGATGGTACTTTAATGTCATCAAGGCATTACAAGGCAGCAGAAACGTTATTCTTAATTTTAGAGTAATCATTCAGTTGCGTTAATTGTACTTATTAGTATAAAGACAGTTCAGAGTGTACATAATTATTATTGTTGCACTGAGCAAGTGGTTATATATTTATAGAGAGGACACTATTTTTCAGTTGCTTATAATTTTATTTGCTCACCTTTATTTGACGGGCCAAGCAAAGGTCAGAATTATCATTCTGGTTTAACCGCTGAGCACTATCCATTTACAGATGTCTACGGCATACAGGTGGATTTAGCTCACTTGAGCATTATGGGGAATGTCCCCTTTCATGTGTATCTAAACTATTTTTTCCTTTTAAGTTACACAAATCTTTTGCAATTACAAAAGTATACAGCACATACTTTTGGATATAATTTTGAAATTCTTAATTTATTGTTCCAATGCAGACATTACATACTGTAAAGGAACAAGTAAAGGTTAAATCCACGCTGAAAAGAGAAGAAAGTAAACAATGTTTTGGCTGTGGAGCCTTTTTCAGGTGTCCTTTCTCCTCTTTTCAGCATGGATTCAACCTTTACTTCTTCTTTTGCAGCCTACGCATGCTAACACAGCTATCTACTTGAAATACATACTGTATATTTGTTGTCCATTTCTGAAGGGAAAGTTGGCTGAAATTTTGTCTCCTTTCCAATTAAATTGGTCATTATTGCTTTAAAAGTCTCTGTACCCTAGTTCTTTAAATACTTTTTTCTGGTACAGTATATGGACTTTGTGGTATATGCCTTAGGCTTCTGGTATCCAATGCTTCGTGACTTTATGGTTCTTTTGGTGAATTGTGTTTTTTTTCCATTCAGAAGACATGTCTAAGTGTTAACGGTCTCATTTAATAGGCTAGTATTATGCTCTTGATTTGATATTGAATCTCTTGTGTATGTAGTTAAAATAATTATAGCCACTGCAATGTTCCATATACTAAGGTAACATCATAATATGATTACCATTATCTTCCTTTGTGGCCCCGGGGCTACAGAAGATTTTGGAGATAGATAAATGAGACCTTGTCAGTGCAAGCACAGATATTTCATCAAAACAGAATCCTTTAACATTGCAAAATATGTCATTACTTCCTGATAACATTGCACAGTGAAGGCAGAATTTCTATAGTGAAAGGATATATGCACAATGAAAGGAATTAGGTAGCACTGCAGACAGTAAGCACATGATAGAGATTGATGTTACTCAGAAAAGAGAGTGAAGGTTTGAGTTTGACAACAGATGTCCAGTGTTATCGCATTGTCTCTGACAAAAGTTTCAATTTCTGAGGCAGATTAAACATGCAATGCTTCATTAGATTATTATATATTTGTAATACACTATACACAAAGGAAACCAAAATATTTATTTTTTTAGTTTCATGTTAATTTTTGAAATATCATATGGTGTAACTGTGTTTTCCACTAAAAATATGTATTTACTCAGTATCTTGTATGTGCATCTGCAAAGGTTTTCAAAGTTTGCTAGTAGTTGACAATTTAATTTTTTGTACTGTGCATGGACTCTGTATTAATGGTTATGTATATCAGACACATTGAGCTAAAACTGAAAAAGCAAAACTAAACCAAAGCACATTCCTACTGTATATGTATGGGAAACAAAAGCCCTAAATTTACAAGCTAACAAATTACATAGAAAAGGTAGCCAGTTACAGTACAAGCAAAAGGTAAATGATTTTGCACAGATAATGTAACAGACATCTCACAAATGAAAATTATTGCCTTTTACTATACAATTAACGACCATCTGTAATCACTGGTTTAGTACTCATACCTCATATTTCTGTTTTAAAATTTTTCTGTTCATGAACGCTTAATACAATGTACTGTATAATGCCTACTGTAGTTCCTAAGCATTTTTTATTCAAAATGTTTTTGAGTTTCTCACTTCATAACAGATTCAAATTTATTTATAATTGTAACAAAATATGTGGCAAGATTATAGAAGGTGTCTATTGTGGGCCCAGGATACTTCACAACCTCAGCCCTTTGTCATTTTCTCTATTGCTGTAGTTTAAAGGGCCCATAAGAATATGTATGCAACTGTATGCCTCACTTGACTATGGGTCATTAGGGCCAATAGGCTGTTTGTGCCTTGAGGTAATTTAGGCTAGTTTTTTTTGCAGTCTGGTGAACAAAAAGAGAATTCTGGAAGAACATGCTTTGGTTTAAAATGGGGAAAAAATGGTAAAGTGCTGAAATGGAACATTTCCATTTCATCTGGTCTTTTTGTTTATAACTTGGTAAGTGGATTAGCCACCCCACCTTCCAGACAGGCTTTGTACTGTAGCTAGAACTCCAGGAGGAGTAGACTTTCTCTTGTCTGTTTTCTCTTCTGAAAGTGCTGAAGGCTGTGGGTCATTGAGTCTCTGGAAACGTGTTAATATGAAACAGAGCACTTGGACAATTTCAGTATTAACCTCACCAGCTTGCCGTCAGTTTCTTAGATGAAGCAAGCTTGGCTAAGGTGACCAGAACCCCAGGGTGCCACGACATACTGTATATATAGAAATAAAATAGCTATTGGTTTTTTTCTTATTGGTCTAGCTATTTCCTAATTTTTGAGTGTTATCTCTTTGGCTGTAACTTCTTATCATGTGTTTTAACTTTTGTGCTTTGTACAGTAAGTATCTTTCTTTTTGTTTTTCTAAGTTGGTAATGCCAAAAGAGTGGTCTGCCAAAGCGTTAAAAAGAGATTGCAGAGTGCTTGATTTGGATATAAATTAATCAGCTGAAAACGTAAATAAATAAATGCTAAGCTTAAAATTAATTAATTGCTTGCTGTGTATAAATTTGGAATATTACAAATGTTACATCTACAAGGGAGCAATGCTTTTAGTCAGAAGCTTGAAGCTAGAAGTGCCTGTAGACACCACACACATGTACACACTGTATGTGAAGCAGGTGTGGCATCTGCTGGCATCAACATTTTAACTTGGCATTAGCAATTAGTGAAATATAAGATAATTTAAAGCTCAGCTTTAGCATGGGAAAGGCCATGGTAAAGTGGAAAGAAACTTTCTGAACAAAATTAATACAGTATTAAGTAAAAAATGAATTTATAACTTAAATTTTTACCAAAATGTATGTCATGTGTTTTTTTTATTCATGCGGTATTACAGCTCTGGTGCTGGAATGCTCACTAAACCCACTGGAGGAGTAAAACTATTTTTACGCTATATTTTTAAATCTCATGCTCTCAATTATATATAAGATACCCTTCCCGAGACCATAAATGTGGAACAGAATCCGCTGGGAAAGTAATGTGGAAGTAAGTCCTGAATCAACATTCCAAAGGAATGGCAATGAAGACATTATAAAATAAGAGCAATATACTTAGATCTACAACAGTAAAAGATTACATTTGCCATGTATTTTGGGAAATAAATATGTTGTTCTAGTGTACAGTAACAGGAAAGCATAAGTCAATTATAATCAATAATACTGGGGTTTTAGTCATTATATTTTTGTTATATGTCATTTTTGCATTCTGCTTTCAACATTACCATTTGTTTTTAATATGTAAGCTTGAGAAGTTTTTTTTAATGAACTTTATTATTGTTTTCAGTGATTTCATTGGTGAATTCTTATATTCTTTCACTGTGACAGCCTTTGAAGCCAGTGTTTATTATGACACAGAAATTGCAGCCATTAGCGTGAGTGTGTTTGCTGGTATTCTTCCTGTTCTCCATCCACACTCCCTTTAACGTGTTACTGATATCTTGCCCACAAGCACACAAGCTAAATACACCATGGTTATTATTAATGAGATGGGTAACAATGCTGCCACAGCTGTGTCGGTGTTGATGGCCATTCTCAGCCTTCCATCAAAACCTTTGTTTCTCTGTTTTTTTTTCTCCTTACTGTCTTTGATTGATTGTAGGATCCTTGTTTGATGTAGGGAGAAAACATAAGGCCTGATTTCTCAAGCATCTCAATTGCTATTTGTCTCCACTAAGAGGCAGAGCAATTGGTAAAGTGTTGGCAGAGTTAGACTGTGCTGCTTAAAATATTCCCAAATGCCACAAAAACTGAGTATAGTGATGTGGGGAGATTGCAGATCCATAATGGCTCCTTTGGCTTGGCAAAAGGACTGCATCATACAAGGACTGACTATGACTATGTCCTTCAAGTGGCAGGCATTGGTGATAGGGATGACTGTCAACACTGTTTCAGAACTCGAGAGAAAACTAATTTAAAATTATCTACAATCAGTATACAGTATCTACTTATATATGAGTTATTCAAAATGCACTTGATTTGTGAATGTTAATTTTGTTGGGGAACAGATATAATCTTGTTTTGAAGTGTGCAACAGGTTTTAGGTTGTTTGAATTGTATAACATCTGATTGTGTTTTTATTTTAGGTCCTGGAGATGTAGTGGTGAAATGCCCTCTCAATCACATGCTGTGTATTGGTACAAGGAAGTGCATTCATTATAACAAAGTTTGCAATGGAGTTCTGGACTGTGATGATGGATATGATGAAGGAGTGCATTGCAGAGGTGAGTAGTGAACTACTGTAGAGCAAGAATGTACAATAGTGCTCAACATTAAAACTGGTAAAAATGACTTGTTTGCACCATCTTTGAAATGAAATCTGCCATTGACCTTAATCTCTACACTTGTAAATTAAATTTGTTCTTGCAGTGAATATATACATTGCTTTTGATACTGATCATTAAAAGAAACATTGAACTATTTATTAATGTGTGGCTTTATAAAACTGTATATTATTAAATATTAATTACATGTTTTTGAGATTATTATGATGGACCTTAATACAGTATGTTGGTATTTTAACTTTGTTGAAAATTAATTACAACCAATTAGATCAACAAATTAGGACCAATTTGCTTTCCTTATCAAGATAGCAATGCTTGTGTGTCTTCAGTATGATAAATGCTAGATTAATCTCTTCAAATTCTTCAAAATGTGTTTATTTGCTTTTTTAGTTATAACTATTATTAATACCATTAATAAGTAAGCGAGACTGTGGAAAATCCAGTCAGTGATAAGTGATAAGTGTTGAATTTCACTAACATTGTAACAATATCATCCATCTTCTTAACCTTAATTGACTTACACAGATCCATCATTTGCAAATCATCTGTGTGAAACATATATAGCAGCCACTAGAAATATTTTGCAGAGTATAGCTGCCTGCTCATTGATGAGCAAGTCTATGACAGTCCTGCTGGTGCCAGCGATGCTCTATGTGCAAACAAGAAGTTCTAAATGATAAAATACACAATTTACAATGTGGCGCTGACCTGGAGAATGGATGTCTGTAAGACAGGCTGAGGAATCGAACAGCTAGGTCCTGTGAAGGCAGACAAACAAGTGAGAATGTGAATACACCAGACAGACGGGCAAAGCTGGGAATGAGCTGGGCAGACTGTCAGAAGGCAGAAAGAGCAGGGAAACTGTGGCCAGGCAGATCAGGTAGGATGCTAACACCACCATGAGTGGTGACATACAGTAGCAAAGGGGTGACAGACGGGGATCCTTCTGGTCATCAAGTTCTGGCTCTGAATCAGAATCGAGGATTCAGATGGATTCAAGTGGAATGCAAGATGTAGCAGGCAGACCATTTCGAGCAAGGGCACTACCATACACTGGGAGGAGGCTAAGTGACAGAGCGTCCGATGGGGCAGGGCAGGGCTTGAATATCCGCCACTAACCAGGTTGCACGGACAGCAACCCCAATCATATTCTCACGGCACTGGGGGGGGTGTGACTCTGTGTGCGAATGGAGACTGAGGGCTGCGAGCTCTGGCTTGTCCAGGCATAAAGTAACAACAATGCAGAAGACTTTGATAGTATCAATAACTTTGATTCTTAATATTAATCTAACATTATTTTGTATTAATACATAATTAATATTAATATTCAATTAAGGCTCAAATACCTGTGATGTAAGAAGTGATATTAACAAATTTCACCTTCTCGGTTGTCCTGTGTTGGAGCACATTATTCGAAAGCAATCTGATTTTGCTGTAGTGTGACAACATTTTGCCTCATATGGATCTATTTTGCCTAGCTTTCTCCTTTTTTTAACAATCTAATGAAAATATGTAATTTCTGAACAATAATATTTGATTTGTAGTATTGCATTTAATGAGAACCCTCAGAGGAAACAGGCTGAAAAAGTATAGGTTGTAAAGGAGTTCGGGTTCAATACTTTATTGCCATAACAACTAATTGCACAGAAATAGGAAAAAATGCAGAAACGGTTACGTAAAAAAAAGTTTTATAAATCAAGTAAAAAAGCTGAATTTTTAATTGAAAAAGTACCAAAACAAATGGAAAGCATCTACACACCACACAAAAGTCTGTATTTGTTTCTTTGGCAAATATCAACTAAAATTAATTGTGTAATTTCGTAATGTATAACGTTAATTTTCTCATACATGAAATGTATGCCAGTCACATACTGTAAATTTAAATAGTAAACACTTTACATTAAGAATATGTTTGAAGGATTTTGCTTAACACTCAAAGAAGACATACTGTACCTGAGCTTCAACCTACTCCAGCTACTGTACACAATTATCACCATTTGAGAAATCAGTAAGTCTGGCAGCTGAACACCATTTCTCCAGATTTTAAATATTTAAAACTTCAGAACAATGATGAATGATTTGTTCCTGACATTAACAAAAATACAATGGAATCCTGTTATTCATATTCATAATGCCAGCCTCTTGCAATGCTATAATGGTGTGTAATTTAGCTATACACTATATGTTCCGTTTAATTATTCAACAACCTTATTTTCATTCAATTACTTATTTTTTCAAATTGTAATTAAGGTCCATGCACAAGTAAGCTCTCATTTGAAAAGCCAGATCAGAACAGTAAATTGAGTTTTAGTGCACCGTCTTGTCAATATTATGCTCATTTAATTTTGAATTACTTTTTTCAGTTTGAATTAAATTTGTTTTTTGTAACTAACAATTTATATAATTTGTTCTTATACCTAGGGAATACTATAGCCCTCAAGTCCCTTACAATAGACCTTTCCCCTCATTTTATGAGTCATTCCTTTACTGCTGCTACACAGATACTTAGGTCACATCATTATGCAGACTACAAATGGAACATATTTCCTTGCAGATGACAATGCAAATAAAGTTAAAATATACTTGTAGTATAGGGTAGGAACTGAAGATACTTTTATTGTAGTAAAACTAATAATTTGCCTTTAAACCACATTCATATTAATAATTTTATGTAAAATATTTCATACTATTTACTTTTTCATTTGTTGTTTTTAGTCAAAAAATATATTTTTTATTGGCAGCTCCATAAAATCATCTCCAGATTCTAAAATCCAAAGAATTGGTAAACAGGTCTGACTCAGCTGTTCACTGCATTACACTCTACATTATAAATATACTAACAGATTGCTTAGAAGGATTATGCTAAAATTATACTGATATTGAGAATTGGAATGTACAGTATATGTGGCATTTAAATTACCACTATGTATAGTTTCTTAGAAATACTAAATAAACTCAATTACAAGTCAGTGAAGAAATACATCTTCATTGCATTCTGTGCACGTTCCAGATTAAGTGTGTCTATGTGTGATCATGCTGGACAACAGCCCAAATTCATTCCCATTTCCGGTGCTTGCCAAAACACCTACTTCTCTGTCTGTATTCTGCTTAAGGGGTTTAGCACAGTCTCCCTAGAAAAAAGCTTTGCTTTCTGACAATGCAATGTCACAAAAACCATGTGTTTCATTCATAAATAATAAAATAGTATCATTCCCTAGTATAATTAATTTTAAATGATTTTAAATTCATTTTATGTAGAATTATTAAAACAAATATAATACTATAGTCTGTTTACATGACTTATCCTGATTTACCATGAGAGTGTTAGACCACACAACCATTTTTTCTGAGCTGTAGAATACTGAGTAAACACTTTGATGATCAGGGCATTTTAAAGGAAATTACAGTCACAAGGAAAATAAGGTCTCATAGTGTAACTACAAAACCCTTAATATTAGTTTTTTCAAATAAAATAAACTGGTATTTATGTATAAGTGGCAGCAGTATAATCGATAATGTTTCAGATTTAACTGAATGTTGAGTTTTCCACATTTTGCTAACCCAGATGTACATGTATAGATGTACTGTACTGTACCTCCTGCAGGGAGCAATTAGCCGAGAATCTTTCGGGTACATCAAATGTACAGTAACCGTTGAAAGTTTTTTTTAAACTACACTCCTGATTTTAATTTGTAATGAGTATGATTATATTGATTTTTTCGACATTGGTTCTGCATTAGTTTGTATTTTAGAAAAGGAATGCAGTGCTGGTTTTACAGAATGCATATACGCAAACAATGATCTGGCAGTGTCGGACTTCTGAACTCCAATTCAAAAGTAATTTTCAAAATGTAACAAAATAGAAAAGCTACAGTAGCTGTACCTTATACCTATTTATTTCTATACAGTATGTTGGTGAATTATCTATCCTATCCCTGAAAAGAAAGATAAGAGTGATTATCATTTTCAAGCAAATAGCAGGCAAATTCAACAGATTTTAGTGTGAAAATGTAATCAAATTTTGTTGTGCACTTTCCCCCAAAAATCTCACAGCAATACACCCAATGTTCTGATTTTTGGGATTGTAATCACCATCTGTAGTCACCACTGACAATCCTAAATTGCTGTTACTCCTCAAAGAATTTTTAAAGCATGATTCGAAAGCAAAAAAATACCAGATTCCTTAATTTCTTTGAGAATGGTATTTCTAGAAGGGATTCTGTTCCTGTGACCTATCGTCTGCAGCCTTGTCTTGGGGTTTCTACTGCAGCTTAAAGAAAAACAATTTACAGTACCTGTGTCTATCTGTCAAGCTAATCTACCGTTTGACCATCTAATTATGTAAAAGAAGCTTTTAATGCGTTTGTACTACTAATGTTACTACTAAGGTGTAACTACTTCCACCTTTTTTATTATCTTATCTCCTAAAAATTTTGACTTCTTAAAAAATGAACAGTTAATGTTTTTTCAATACTGTATATTTGTTTTTATAGGGATTTTAGTGATTTGGTAACCCTCTCCTTAGTGCGTACCTCTCTCCTCAATCACTGTTATGATTTAAAATGTTTTTCTTATTCCAAAGACTGGAGCAACGTGAAACAGCAAAGGTTTTTATGCTGATTGTGAAGAAAAGGATAAAAAGTCTAAATTAAGTGCATTTTTCTATAATAAGTATTATGCAACGATTCATTAAACCAAACTTAAGAACATTTTTGAACAAGTAATGTCATTTTTTAATGATTCAGAAAACACTTTACCACAGTGGTACATTTAAAGTGATTTTGAAACATTTCAAATGTATCCCTGAAGTCTTGTAAAAGGTGATAATTTATCCTGGAGGTAGACATAAATAATCTTTGTAATTGTCCATTTAATGCACTCAATGCACGATAACATCCATAAACAACAACAATGGCTGTAAAAAGTGCATTTGTAAAATA